AATGGGAGATGAGTTTCAAGGGGCCTAGGGACTCCTCCATAAGGCGCAGTGGTGAAGCACAGGGTAGGGCATGCGTGGTAGGCTCAGTCAAGGTTGCCTGTGGATAGGATTGTTTTTCATCTATTCAGTTCATTAAGAATTCAGTGCTAGGTGACTCTCGTCTAGCTGTGAGCTAGACAGAGAGATAAATCACATTAACGGATAGTGGAATAAAGCTTTGTGCAACACAGATGGGAAGACAGGGAAGGGAGGAAGTTTTCTTGAGGAAGTGGGCCCTGGAAGACAAGTGAGAAAAAGAAGCAGAAGACACAAGTATTCTCTACGCAACAGAGGAGTACCAGGCAAGTAAAATGATGGGCAAGATTGGGCTCGTCCTGGACACATGTGCATCTGTTGAGTTCTTGCTGTGTTTATCTGTGTGAGACTCAATGGTGAGATCCTGGCCTATGGATTATACTCTATAGAGCTGAGCAAGCACTACATCAAAAGCCCATATAGCCATAATAGGACCAGGAGGGAAACTAGTTTTCTGATCTGATCAATGCATGGTAGATGGATCCTGATCAAAAGGGAGAAAAATGTGAAACAGAATTTTAACTTCCTAAAGATCCCAGCCATACCAGAACCATGGGGAGTGGAGAAACTGGAATCGATTGCCCTTTAAACCAAACTTTCTCCTGAGTTCATCTTTAAGCTAAACATCAATTTAGCTCTACCAGTCCAGAATGCATATCTTGAGTATTGCACTTTTTAAAAAGATTGTTGACCGTATCCCAATCCCATTGTCACCGAGTCAGTTCTGACTCATAGGTACCCAGTAGGAGAGAAGAAGATCTGCTCCATAAGGTTTCCCAGACCGGGATCTTTATAGAAGCAGACTGCTGTATCTGTCACCCTCAGAGTGGCTGGTGGGTTTGAACCAATAACCTTGAGGTGAGCAGCTGAGGGTTTACCCACTGCACCACCTGGGCACCAGAAATTGACAATAGTGACTCAAACACAGAGATGAGAAGTTTATTGGGCTGTGAGTCTCAGTTAACGGTGGTGAAATGTTTGAGTAGAAACAAGTGAGATATATAACCAACATCACTGAGCTGCATTTGTGGGAACGATTTGGACATGCGTTGATCGACATATTTTCATCAAAATAAACGAAGTGTTTACAAGAAGACAGAAGGAGAGGCAGCAAAGTCACGGGATGGTACAGCTCTGGTACAGCTCCCAGAGGGGAGAGGCCCAGCAGGGTGTCTGAGGGAAACCAAGGTCTTGGCTGAGACCCGTGGATGAGTGAGAGTGAGAAAGGTTTGAACAGTAAGTCTTTGGGGGCCATCAGGGCACCCTGGTTCTCTCTGCTCCTCCCTGCTGGGCTCAATGGGCCTCAGAACAAATCACTCCCACCTTTCCAACTCCCGACACTCCACCGAGACCGACTGTTTTGTGAGCAGGGTTTCAAAAGTTACAGCCTGACCTCAGAGATCATGCAGGTCCCAGTCCAGAACACCACAGTCAAGCAATGGCGCCATAAAAAGAAACATGAATCGCTAGGTTTCCTAGTTCAAATAAGACTGATGCTTGCCATCGTCCAGGAAGTGTGCAATAGCATCATGGAAAGTTTGAAATGTTCGGAGAATGACCAACATGTGCCCGGAGGGAGATCCGATGTGAGCATGTGCTGTTGGAAAAATGGCCCCCTTGAGAGAGGGTTGCCACAAACCTTCAGTTTGCGAAAACACAATCCAAATCGCAGCACACACGGGGAGTGTGTAAAGATGAGGTATGGCTGTACAATGAGTCTCTTGTTGGGGGTCTGCAGCAGAGGAGAGGGAAGTTTTCTGGGTCCGAAGCTTACAGTTCACCTGAGTGGATGTACCTAGCCAAGGGGAGACTGGCAGTAGGTAGGTCCCATATAAGCCTCTCACCCACGACACACAATAGGATGTGCAAGGAAGACTCATCACTCTGCTCTGACAGCTTTGGGGGTTGGTAGGTAGCTGCTCACGATAGGCCATTTCCAGTCGTCTGCTGTCTTACAGGTAGCCTTGTAAGTAATAGAAATCACTTTCCCTGAGTAACGTGTGTTGGCGGGGATGGGAAGAAGCTGATGTTTGTGGAACACGTCTGCCTTCTCATTGCCTCTTGACTATCTAGATAAGGGCACTACGCACGGGTGGGTGGGCACACAGTTGGAGTGTTGTCTTATGGTGCTGTTCCCCACACAGAGAGAGGGGGAAGGCGCTGTGCCAGGAGAATCATGGGATCTTCTGGAAGTTGAATGAAGGTCACTATGCTTGGAACATAGGAAGCAGGGCCAAGAGAGACAGAAAAGAGTCTGGCTATGGGGGAGGGCAGAGAGCCTTAAAGGTTGCTATGAGGCAGCGGTTCTCAACCTGTGGGTCATGACCCCTTTGGGGGTCGAACGACCCTTTCACGGGGGTCGTCCGATTCATAACCCTAGCAAAATGACAGTGATTAAGTAGTAACGAAAATAATTTTGTGGTTGGGGGATCACCACAACACGAGGGACTGTATGAGAGGGTCGCAGCACTAGGAAGGTTGAGAATCACTGCGGATTTAGACTTTCATCCCTCATGCTATGGGAAGTCATTGGGAGTGTTTGTTGTGCTCATTGCATGGACATGCTGGACTTATAATAGTGAGCAGATCAGTCTGGCTCGTGTGTGAACAGTGCGTTAACTGGGACGTGGAGGGACCAACCAGTTGGTCCTGTGGGGGAGATGACTGTGGTTTGTTTTAAGATGGTGGCCTGAAAACAAGCCAAGAGATCAATGCAAACAGCAATCTGCTGCTGCATCTGGGCGACCCTGAGGGACCCGGCGTTGTGAGAATACAAGTTGGGTGGCACGGAGCTGCGGGCGAGGTTGGTTTGGCCAGCTCCGAGGGGCTGGCTCTGCTGGTTCATGCTGAGAAATTTGCATTTATACTATAGCTGATGGAAGTTAAGTAGCAGGGAAATGAAATGATCAGATTAGTATGTGCATGGGGGATATTTATTCCTCGCCCACCTACTTCTTGAGCCAGGCATTTATTGAATTTAGAATAATAGATGGAGGAAATCTCACCACATAACTGAAGGCAAAGATTGATGGGAGGCCCATTTTGGGGTATAATAGCACAGAAGAGTTAGACGACTGGGAGGTTAAACTTGTCAGTGTGAAAGGCCTATTTATCTTGTAAATACTCTGCCCTAAAGCCACATACGCCTTCCCTCACACAAGACCCAACTACCACCGGCCTCAAATGCAGCATGGAATTCGGATTTCAGTGACTGGAAGGCCAGGCAGTTCAGAAACCAGCACAATGAGCCAAAGCCTTTTGTGCAAGGGGCAACACAAAAGAGTTAACAGGGCCCGAAGGACTGTGGAAGAAATACAGAAGAGAAAGTCTGATGGAGACATGTCTTCCCTGAAGACCTTGACCTCCTGAACACCCCTTGACTCTGAAGGAGGTTCTCTATAACCATTGCAAAGCTAGGACTCGGTTGGAGAGTTGTGAGGTGTCACTGAGTGGGTTCCACACCATGGAGACCCTGTAGGTACAACGGAACAAAATACAGCCGGGTCTTGCACCATCCTCACCGTTATTGGGATGTGTGAGCTTAGTGTGGCAGCTACTTTGGTTTGCAGCAGCAAGTGCTCCAAGCCTTCTTGGTAACATGGTGGTGTCTTCTGCATATCAAAGGTTGTTAATACGCCTTCCTCTGGCCCTGATGCCACATTCTTCTTCATGCAGTCTAGTGATTATATGAGTCTACTGGCTCAGCATAGAGATTGAATACATATGGTCAAAGGATACAGCCCTGTCACACACCTTTCCTGATTTTAAGCCATGCTGTATTCCATTGTTCTGTTTGAGCAGCTGCCTTTTGATCCATGTACAGCTTCTGAATGAGCACCATGAAGTGTTCTAGAATGTTAGGATCCAAACAGTCAAGTGCCTGTGCCTAGCCATCAAGACACAAGTAAACGTCTTTCAGGTATTCGTGCTTTTAGGCAAGAGCTATCTATCTGACATCAGAGAAAGGGGGGGGGGTGTCATGTACAAATCAAATTCCCCATGGGTTCTCCATACTAGAGTATGAAGGGGCTTCAAAAAGTTCGTGGAAAAGTTCCATTGTCTTTAAATTCCATTTTTCCAGGAGTTTTTAGAACCCCCCTGATAGATGACTCGGATCTAGAATGAGGGGCTGTGTTTTAAGTTTCTGACTCCATCTCGGATGGACAAGAGATGGTGATAATTTGGTTAGGAATTGGAACCCTCTCTCTTCTGTTCTCCTAAGGGTTCGGTTGCTAACCAAAGAAGGTCAACCATTTGAAACGAACACTTCACCAAGGTTATGCAGAAGTGATAGGATATTTGGGGGCTTTGACAGGCTGAAGGAGGCTTGGAAACTCATCAGTTAAGGGCTCGACTGGTAACCACAAGGTTGATAGTTTCAACCCATCCAGCACTTCTGTGGGAGGGATACCTATGGGAATACCATCTGCTCCCATAATGATTATAGTCAAGAAAACCCTTCGGGCCAGTCCTACTCTGTTACTTGGGATTGTTATACATCAGTGGTACCCAACATCAACATCATGAAACTTGGAGCCCAGCAAACTTTGAGTAGCAGACAAATCTGTACTACTTAATAATGTTCACAAGCTAGATGAGCCCTCTGCTCTGCATTTACAGTCTCAGAAACCCTGTGGAGTTTCTCTGAGGCAGAATAGGTGTGGATTTGATGGCAGCGGATGGAGTTTGGTTTTAGCGACTTGCTATGCTTTAGAAGATGTAATAACGAACGGTGCTTTGCCAGGTTTCCCCGACCTACATGAAGGATGGCACCGAATTCACTGAAATGATTCCCAGCTTTGAGACGACAGAGACCGTTTTCCATAGTGTTGGGTTCTCCTGTGGTGTGTGCCAAGCCTTCTTTGGCACACCTTCATCCATGCTGGTGGGCGTGTGGTCAAAACTTCCCATTCTTTGCTTTTCAGGTGACGGAACTCAACCATGTGAAGAATGTAGCGCGGTTGCCGAAGAGCACCAAGAAGCACGCCATTGGGATTTATTTCAACGATGATACCTCTAAGACCTTTGCTTGTGAATCAGGTTTGTCCGAGGCCAAGGGAGAGTTTGAATGGGCTCTCAGACAGGTGCTGTGCACACGGGCTAATCTTTTGGCCATTCCTGCAGATCTTGAGGCTGATGAGTGGTGCAAAGTCCTCCAGGTGGAGTGTATAGGGACTCGGATCAATGACATCAGCCTCGGAGAGCCCGACTTACTGGCCACTGGGGTGGAGAGAGAGCAGAGTGGTATGTAAAGAAAATTCCATCTTTTTCTTTCCTGTTGTACTGTCTGTGCCTCCAACCATACCATAGAACTGGAGGCATCTACAATGTTGAAATTCTGAAGTTGTAAAAATATATGAAGATAGAAGGAAATAAGATCTTTAATTCCACCCACAACTTGAGTTCACATTTAGTAACTTAAATTCTTAGTATTACTTCACCATGAAATATGGGCAGATCTACATGAATGATATCAAGTAGGATGCTAGGCTCGTTCTTGTAGTAAACGCTTTGCCTTCTATCGCTTTTTCATGTGTACAGTAACCCTGTGTGGTAAGTGCGATGACTTCCATTGGACAGAGGGAGAAACTGAAGTTTAGAGGGGATAAAGAGTTTGCTTTTATTCCAATAGCTAGCTAGAGTATTCACTTTTAGACTATGCCCTTGACTTTTGTTTGCAACGTGTGGATTTTATAGTGCCAATGCCCTCCCCCAATTCCCATTAAGCTAATAATATAAACAAATTGAAGCTTCTTGAAAACACAATTTCAAACCAGGGTCACATTCTGACTGGGAAGCCCAAAATGTCCAAAGGAGAAAAATATATACAGGCTCTTACACTACAGCTTATCGTTAGGCATGATGCGTTGTCATAGAGACAGGCCAGAAGTGTGTTTACATAGGAGTACTATCAGTTTACCCTGAAACACAGCTTCTCGTCTGAACTTGGGAATTTCTGCTTTCAAAACTGTACATGATTCTACAAAGCGAGCACAATACCCAAAGCTTTGTGTTTCACTACTGTTGACTATCGCTTGACTTTAAGGTGACTATTAAGAAACCAATTTTCTCAAGGCTCAAGGTTCAAAGCTCCTTGCAGGGTGTTCCCTTCGGGGCAGGAGGGGGGGGCCTCCTCCGGCTCCTTGGAATCTCGAATTCTGGTTTCGCGGAAAACGAAGAACTCCTGTCCTCAAGAGTATAATGCTTTCTTTTCTTTGTTCTTGCCTTTTTTATTTAAAATATTTATTGTAAGCGTCCCATGCTTTTGATAGAAACCAAACTTCAGGAAACGTTTCCACAAGTGTTAAATCTGAGTTTTGTTGTTGTTGTTTCTACCCTAACACTTAAGCCAACTATTTGAACTAAACCCTCAAGCCAGGAATACATCCTTTAAAAATAACCATAATCAACATATTCCTGAGCACTGGGAAACCTCAGCGTTGGTTCCCAGTAGGAGGCTGCAGGTGAGAAACCATTCCTTTGCCTGCAAACAGCTGGGCTTGTGACAGGGTAGGCTGGGCCACGGGGTTCAGTTTCCACCAATTGGACTTGACCGTTGAGGACACATCCCCGCTGAAGGGGGCTCAGGGGTCAGCTGGCTTGATTAGAAACACTGCAGAGGTAGAATTGTACTGACCTTTGCATGGGAACACTCTCCAATTGTTAGTTAAAAAAAAAAGAAGCTCTCCTGCCCGATGGGAACTATGTCTTCTTGACACGTTTATGGCCTGAGACAATTTGGATGCACCATATCGGCCATAATCCATCTCCATGGACAGGTTATGCACCGTGACCTCGAAGCACTGGCTGATCCTGAGGGACTCTTTGCAGACTGTGAAATTGAACTACAGAGAGGTTAATTCATTTATCCAAGGTCATATCACCAAGCCATCAGCAACTTCTCCAATACATGGCCCACTACACCGCAGTGTCCCTGAGGGCACACCCATGGTGTTCACCACAGTGATGCCACACCTACAGAAGGAAACATGACGGGTTTTGTTTTTAGCCGAAAACGTGCCGACCTGCATTTATTCCCACGACTCACGTTTGTGAGACTGTCCTGTTAGTGTCCCAGACAGAATCAAAGACGACTCTCATCATGGTGTCAGCTCGCCCAAGCCCATTGGCTGTGCCTTCCCTTCCTCTTTGGTCAAGTGGGAATCACAGCATCTAGTAGCAAAGGAATGCTCAGGTTATGAAATTCAATTTCCTCATTTAAGGCACGTTAGAACTCTCCCCTTGTTTAACTTCCAGTGAAGTGTGATTCGGGTGGATCACTGTCACCCTTCCCCAGACCGCTGTTGTTCTTGAGCCAGGTAGACGGATAGATGGTGGAAGCAAAGAGATTGGTCAAGGTCTCTGTTTCCATTTTACTTAATGAAGCCAGTCTTTCACACTTGGTGGAGAAGTTTGGTCCATTAGAAATATACTTTCAAAATAATACTTATTACAAGAACAAACAAACAAACAAACAAACAAACAAAAGCCCTCACTGCCACTGAGTCCATTCTGACTCATGGCCACCCTGTAGGGCAGTGCAGAGCTGTCCCTGTGGGTTTCTGAGATGATCACTTTTTATGGGAGTAGAACGTCTCATCTTCCTCCCCCACCACACCTGGTGGATTCAAACAGCTGACCTTGAGGTGAAGCAGCCCAACTCGAAACCCGCTACTCCACCAGGGCTCCATCCATAGTTACTTGAATTTGAACTCACTTCCAACTCATGGTGATCCCATAGGACAAAGTAGAACTCCCCCTGTGGGTTTCCAAGACTACAACTCGTAATGGGGGTAGACAGCCTCATCTTTCCTCTTTGGAGGGGCTGATGATTTTGAACTGTTAGCCTCACAGTTAGCACCCCAACATAAAACCCAGTATGCCACCGGGGCTTTTCCAGTAGTTACTCCCTGTCATCCAGTCCAAGCCGACTCCTAGAGAGTGACCCTGTAGGGCAGAGTAGAACTGCCCCTGGGGGTTTCCGAGACTGAACTCTTTATGGGAGTCGAAAGTCCCATATTCCTCCCCCAATAGTTCCGAGTAGGCAGCACATATATTGTCACTAGGCACCGAACGTAATTTAGAAATTTTGATTAGTAGGCGCCTGAATATATTTTCTAAATACTATTTTCAACCTCCCATTTGAAGATTCTGATATCATTATCTTAATATCAAAATAATGAATTTAGAAGGCCACTAATGTTAAATTTTCCTGCAACACTAAATTTTCATGAGATTTCATCAATTAACCATAATGTCAGGTAGGCACATATGAGTGTGCTACATGAATACTATTTTAGTTCTAAATTTAACATGCAGATTTTTCCCTCTGTAATGTCTTAAATGAATGCATTTTCTAGGAGCCTTACCTGGGGGTCACTGTGAGGATGGTACGTGGGTGCAGTAATAAAATAAAACCAATGTATTTAGGACAATCTTGGTAAAAAATGAATGCATCATCTAAATAAAGGAAATGGCCACTTCCTTCCAGAATTTGACTAGCAAAACCTTCTCTGTTAAGAATGCGCTCAAATCTGCCCCCGTTGCCCTTAACCCCACACAGTGGCTCAACTTAAGTGTGCAGTATGAGTGTGAACTCTTATTGAAATCCTTTGTGACATCGGTTTTTTATGCCACTATAAAAATTACAAATTGATCAACATAGCTTAAAAATCACAAAACCGGCACATCCTTATTTCCCACCTGCGTCTTTTGTGAACACAGGGAGGGGTGTAATTAACTTGTGCTTAACGGGAAAAAATAGCTTTGAATGGTTTTACCACTTTAGTCTTTTATTGACATACAAAGGTTTTTTTTTTCTTATGCAAATAAGAAAATTCTAAAAATGGCCTTTGGTGGTGCAAATCATGCTTAATGCAAACCGGCAGTCAGACTGTTCCCCTCACCCCCATCCCCAGAGCTTATTTTTAGCCTGGTTTCCTAGGGGTTGTGATGAAACATGGTTGTTCTGGGCCTGGCCACTTAAGAGACAGGTGCATGTGTCTGTCTGATAGGTGCAGCCACAATGTAGAGAGACATGCCTTCATGGGTTGTTTTAAATGCCTCTGGGTTCCTACAAGGTCTTTGATGCCTTCTTCCTGGAGACTGGAGCCTAACCTTCTGCTTTCCTCCCAGAGAGATTCAATGTGTATTTGATGCCATCTCCCAAGTTCGATGTACACGGCGAGTGTGCCTTGCAGATCACCTATGAGCATATCTGTCTTTGGGACACCCAGAACCCCAGAGTCAAACTCATCTCCTGGCCGCTAAGCGCCCTGCGGCGGTATGGACGCGATGCCACGTGGTTCACATTTGAGGCGGGGAGGTGAGTTCAATGGTGGCTTTTCCTGGGTTTTTTTGTACACCCCTACCTGCTCCCCTCCCCCATTTTTAAATTTTGCTTTTCTAGTTTCTCCTCTAGCTTTACCTTCATCGAAAGACAGTTTCCTACCTGCATTCCAACCCAAAGCAAGTTTTTGAAAAGTCAGAGTTAGGATTGTGCAATGCTAAAGGTGTAGCAAAATATTCATCTATTCAACAAGCTCCCCACTGCCACCCCCCCATGGAGGATTGTAATGTTTCACGGAGGTGGTATGAATTTTCATTACACGGTTTGGTTTCAGGCTACAAGCTGAAACTAAACTAGGTAGAAAAAAATGTTTTTAAAAACATCTATCTATCTAGTAGATCAGAACCCTGGTGGCACTGTCAGGTAAGCATTGAACTGCGAACTGAAAGGTTGATGGTTCAACCCCACCACCTGCTCTTCTGCAGAAAAATGAGGCTATCTGCTCTTATGAAGATTTACAATATGGGAAATGCTCTGTAAAAGGATGCTATATGTCAGAAGCAACCCAAAGGTGCTGGGCGTGGTGATTTATTTCCTGGATCAAACTGAACAAAGGCCAGCATCTTGGTTGGTAGTCGATTTGTATATGGCTAATCTATATTTTCTCATCCAAGCTGCGGACAGTGGATTATTGATAGCATTTTGGCAGTTGCTGGCCATTGGGTTCTTGACACGTGGATCACAGTTGAATGAGTGACAGGAAGACTGAGAAAGTTCACCTTAAAACATGCTTTTTGTCAGGACTTACACCTGTCTCTATTACAAGTTTACCTGGCCGGGGGGTGGCGGTGGGCAGTGGCAGGGGAGAAGTGTACTAAGTATCTCCATTGCTTTGTTCTCCCTTGCCCCTCCTTCAGAATGTAGACTCTCCCGCCCCAGATGAACGCTGTGCTTTAGAAGTCACAGTGGCTGAATGTAAGACAAGGGACTCTGGTGCCACTATGATGGAAGTTGTCAGTTCGAACCCACCAGCTGTTCCGTGAGAGAATGAGGAGGCTGCCTGCTTCCGGGAAGACCGACAGCCTCAGAAACCCGACGGGGCAGTTCTGCTCCCTCCTACTGGGCTGTTCTGTGTCCGAATGGACTGTGCAGCAATGGGTTGGCCTTCTGGAAACTGTAGGAAACATACGTCCTTCTGTGTACGACCTAGTGTCATGGTCAAGTTTAAAACAGAAAACGTCTACTGTTTTTTATCAAATGAATGGTCCTTTCTGACAAGAAGACAATGTTTGCTATAAGGTGAGGCAAAATGGACATTCCAAAATGGACATTCTCATCATGCATGTGCGCTGTCTTAGGATGGGCTCTTTCAAGAGGCAATCCCGTGGGGCCTACCAAAGGGGCCTAAAAAATCTAAACCTCACTGCCATGGACAAGTCCATTCAGACTCTGGAAGCCTAGAGGGTAGAGCCGAGCTGTCTCTGCGGGTCGCCGAGGGTGCTCATCTTCACTGGAAGAGAAAGCCTCATCTCTCTCCCACAAAAGGCCGCTGGAGTTGAGCTGTTGACCTTGTGGTTAGCAGCCCAGCAGCACCAGGGCACCTTGATGTATAAAGCAAGCAAGAGAGATTTACTTCACGCAAAGGGCAGCTCAGGCAAGGGTGGAGTTGGCGAGTCCCGGATGCGCGGGCCAGTGACCAGAAGAGCGTGGTGTCCAGAGGGCCACGAGCTTTGTCAGAACATCCGCTTATGTGCTGCAGGCAGGCCACACACAACCCCCCACCCAAGGGAACTAACTCCCCCCTGTACTGCTGATGGGTCGCTCACATCACATCACATCACATCACATGACATCACATCACATCACATCACATCACATCACATCACATCACATCACATCACATCACAGGGTGCCTGCCAAACCACGGAGAATCCTAACACGTTGATGGGTGGCCTGAGCCATCACAAGGGCATAAAGCAGTCAAATCTTGCCCCCAATTCCCTGTCCAGCCCATTTAAAGCAATGTCCAATGACTCACAGTCCACTTTTCCAAAGGCTGATCCATGTGGCTTGCCTCTAAGTGTCCTGGAAGGTTTTGAATTCCTCTCTCCCATCCAGTTCTGTTCTGATCTGCTTCGTTTTCCAGTCCTGGGAATAGAAAGAGAATAACCGGGTGGATCTCTCCGAGAATTCAAAGGTTATCATATTGAAAAATAAAACTTTAATGTGCAGGGCCATGTTCTAATTTTGTTGGAATCATTTCTTTATTATCCTTAGAGAGGAAAAAAAAGCAAAAAAATCTTCCTAGGCAGATTAAGAATTCATTTTCCATGGTGGGCATATTTTCCCCTTTGGGTCTCAGAAATTATTGATGAGTTAATTGAAACCAGTGAAAGGTAGACCTTGGAAATCTTTATAAAACTCACAGCTCAGACTCAGTGCCATCAGGCTGGTTCTGACCCGGCACAATCCTCTGGGACAGAAGAGAACTGCCCTGTGGTTTGCAAAGACTTGAGCTCCTTAGGGAATTAGAAAGTTCCACCTTTCTCCCATGGAGCGCCTGGTGGTTTCCAACTCTGACCTTGAGGTTAGCAGCCCAACATGTAACTTACTAGGCCACCAGCGCGCCTCAATTTTATAATGGAAGTAGACCTTTGTATAGACTGTACACCATCTCCTACATTCTACATTCATGTGTAAGAGAAATGAGCATAGATCAGGACTTTGCGGGTCTTCTTTGGGCAGTACTAATTCAGATATTAACATTGTTCTTTTATTTTGTATTTACTGTCTATAAGAAATCATAATAGAAAAAGAAGAGGGTTTTTGACAATGCTACCTGAGGGCTTAAACCGCAGCCAATGTCTGTAGCATCTCAGGAGTCGTTGAGACTGCCTTTGAATTGATCTCATTCATCTTCCAGGTAGAAAACGAATCTACTCAGCAGGAGGCAAACACTACCTTTACTCATTGGGGATGGAGGAGAACAGCTGAGGAGCGAAGAGACTATTTGAAAGACTTTCTATTTCCCCTAAGTGCTGCAGGAACCCAGAGACTTTTCAGCAGGCATATGTGGGTCTGGGGTTGGGCACAGTGGTGATATACTCAGCAGCTAACGGGGAGCATAGTGATCGGAACCCACCCAGGGGCTCTGCAGGAGCGAAGCCTGGAGATCTGCTTCTGGAAAGATGGCAGCCAAGAAAAGCCCATGGGTCAGTTCTACACTGTCACAGGGGTCTGTGACATGAGCTGGAATTGACCTGATGACAAACAATAACAACAGCCTTCTGAATATTGCCTGTGGGCATGGGCGGCATGGCTTCTGAAGGGCACTTCCTGCATTGTGTACAGTAGGATCGAGCGGGGAGGTGTGGATGCAGGCGATCCTGAAGTAGCTCAGGTGAAAAGAATAGGGGAAGCGAAGTATGGATATATTGAAGCCATAAATTTCAGAAACTTCCCAATGGTCGTTGGCGAAGAGCCATAAAGTACCGACTTGGGAAATGAAAGAATTTCATTCAATGAGTTTTATGACCCCTTTATGGTCTGACCTGTGGGGGTCTCTTATCCAAGAATATGTCATACCATTAGTTGTAATAACCACAGCTCTTTTTGCACGATGGAGAGCTCTCAATATTGTGGGACCCCGAGAACAACACCCCTACTCTGTAGTCCTGTTTTGTGGGTGTTGGTGCAAACGTGAGTTTGAGAGATCGAAAGGAAAAGGTCAGGGTTCTAGGTCAGAGACACCCTGGGTCCTAATTTCTCCTTTTCATTTGCCAATGGGCTCAACTTCCTTGAGGATCATTTCTAAGTGGAGCTGAGCCACGTCTCAGCTGTTCCAGTTAAAAACATTAAGGCACACAGAAGATATCGAACAGTGCTGGGCACACAATGCTCCTCTTAAGGAGCTTTTTGATAGGCTACTCAGATGATTTGAGCCAGGACTTGGGTTTGCAGAACGCAGTCAGAGTTAAACCCAAGGTAATATGACTATTTTATATTTTGCCTGAAACTCAAATAAAGAGGAATTTTTATAGTTACCATCAAGATGCTCAGGATAATAAGATCATTCGTGTTCCTCCAAGCGTGAAGGTTTCCTATCTGCCTTGCTTTATTAGTGAAGATCGTTTTTTTTGCCATGGCTATTTTTGGATGTGTTCAAAACAAGTCAGTTTCATATTAACTAATATAATTTTCTCCTCTCACATCAATAAGTGGACAGGAGTGAAATCTCTAGGCAAATCTTTTCCCCATAGCCCACGTGAGTCTGCAATGCTATCATCATAGAATGCCCTCTAGACTCGGGACTCCTCTTTCCAAAGACCTTGGGCAAAGTTCTACTCACCTGTCATCACTACGAGTGTTAGAACAGAGTGTATTTCCTGCTCAACGGCCCACTTCACCCAGTAGAACCAGCCCATGAGGCGCTATGTCAGAGCTACAAGACGCCTTGTAGGATGAGCTGCTTCGGAAGGGTCACAGTCTGCTAACTACAAGGTCAGTGAGTCAGTCTCAGCAGCTCTCCAGGCGAAAAAGTTGTGGTAGTCTGCTTATGAAGGCCCTCGACCTCACCCACTACTATTGAGTTGATTCCAAGTCACATGAAAAACCAAAGCAAACATTCTGCTGTGAAATCAAAGGTGACCTTGTAAAGGGTTTCCAAGACTGTAAATCTTAGGGCAGCAGACAGCCGCATCTTTTTCCCAAAAGCCTTGAAAACCCTATGGGGCAGCCAAACCATTTTGCAGGGTCTTACCAGAACGCTGGTAGTGTTTCATGCCATTCTGTAACCATCCGCCTTTTGGTTTACAACCCAGGGTTTAATCCAGAGCTTCAAACAAGTTCCTAATGGTTCAGTAATGACTGACAGAATGTACACGTTGCATAATAACCAAATCTCTAGCATGTGGGACTTTGACCTGAGTAGGAAGTAGACAGTGGTCCCCCACCCAAATATGTCAGCTGGTGCACATTCAATGCTGCCCATTGGGCTACCATCTTTGAGCAAAGCACTTTTGCCTATTTCCTAAACC